GTTCCTCCGCTGCCAAACGACACGTAAACCACCGACTGAGTCGGTTGTTGGTCGAGCCACGTCACCAGCGACTCAGTTGAAGAATTGGTTACTAACTCGGGCTCTCTCACGAGAGGTCCCACAGCGTACACGGGAATCTTCATATTTAGCGCTTCACTTAACGAACCTCCCTCCCTCAGCGCTTCAAGCTCTTCACGTTGAAGCTCCTCCCACGTGTTCACCAAAACGCCGTCGCTTTGTAGGATCCCTTTTCCCATTTTCAGATACTCTGTATACTGTCTGTCGTTCCGGTCCAGCATGGGGTCGAACACGTTCTCCGGTCGAACCGGTTTGCAGCCCGGAATTTTGATCGGTTCCGTTTGGTCCACGTATTGTCCCTCTACCAGTTCATCCAGAACCGGCGAATAGAGAACCAACGCGAGCATCCAAGCGTGTGAAGCAATGTAGACGTAGCCGTGAATATCGAGTTCTCTTGCTATGGGTATGGTCTCGGTGCTGAAAACATCAACGATGACTGCGGAAGGGCGAGGGATAATTTCGGAAAGAATTGACCGGATGGCGAGTTTGGCTTCGCTCATCACGACGCAGAGGCGAGTGACCACGGCATCGTTTGGGGCAACGAGGGCATTGATGTCTGGTGAAGGAATATCAATGAGGTGGCAGAGAGATGGTGTGAGGAGTGAGTTGAGGATCTGCGATTCGGCTGGTGAAGTTTGGGAAGTGACGGCGATAACTGTGACTTTGAAGTTGTGGAGAAGGACAAAGCGCTTGGCAAGCTCAATGACAGGGATGAGATGGCCCAGACCTGGACTTGAAACGAGAACCACGTGAGTGAGTTTTGGCGTCTCCATGAAGCTGTAACGAGAAGAAACTGATTAAGGTGTGTGAGTGGGTTTTACTGAATCGGAAAACTACAATATGAAGGAGATAATGAAGCAAGCGAAGTAGAAGTTATTTGGTGGATTAAGTATTCGAAAACTTGATATGAGACGTGGTGAAGTAGAATTGCAGATAGATATAGAGAGCTGAGTGAACTATTATTGGTGGGCTGATTCAATATATTTGTTTTCGTCTTTTCTACTGTTCTCATTCTTCCACGAAAACGGACAATATTGAAAACGGAGATAAGTTGTGTGGAGGAGATTTGTGAAGTCGGCTGCTGGTGAGGTTATATGGAGAATATTGGACTTGGAAGAACAACCAGTCATTCAAGCGGGCCTATTATATGTTTTTTTTAGAAACAACATATACATATGTTTTACATTCGTTTTAAATTTATGACACTATTTTTTCTTTTTTAAATACAAAAATTTAATCATTTTACTTTCATAATATATGTTAAGTAATCTCAGTCTGTATTACTCATATTTCTTACTACTTTCATATATTATAGAACTATTTTCTTTTACATTTTATTTATATTTATAATTATTATCATATGAATATAATATGTCTGTAACTAAAAGGATTGGTAAGTAATTATTTAAAAGTAGGCTTAATTACTTCTTTCTTTTCTATTTTAGTTAAAAAGTTATAAGTATGTTTTTACTTTTATTTTTGTTTTAATAAGTTTCAAATTTTAAAAAATTAAATCAATTACACTCTTTTCACTATTACCTAACAAAATAAGTTAATGTTATACGTCACTTCTTAATTTTTTTGTTTATTTTTTTAATTTTTGTACACATGTTTTTCGGTTCATGTGTTAAATGTAAGGACATGTGACACTATTAATATAAAATGATGACATAATAGTATGTAATCTATTAATGTTAAATGTCATTCTTTTATACTCAATATGAAATCTCTATAAATTTATTTATTTAATTTAATCTCAACTTTTTTAAAAATGAGACAATGTAGTTTTTTTCCAAATTCAAATAAAAATTTATTATCAGCATGTTATACTAATATATTTATTGAAATTGACATTTTAACATATTAAACTAAAATAATTAAAGTAATTACATATTAAATTACTTCATTGTTGTAACAATAATAATAATAATTTATTCTATATTTTATTATATTTTAAGTCCAACAATACTTTTTTATTTATGAATAAATATTGTTGTATTATTAAATAAATTTAAGGTTCATTTAAAAAAACTAAGTGTTTAAAACTCTTATATTATTTATGTGTTTTTCGTGAGATTAATAGTAATTAATTTAAATGAAATCTAATAATATTATAGTTGATTTAAATATAATTTTAAAAATATTTAATAAAAAAGAGTAAATTTTAATATAAACATCAATATAATATTTATACAAAAATAAATTTGGTTCTAATTTGAAAAAAAAACATTATTTCATTTAAAAAAATTGAAATTGAATTAAATCAAACACTGTTCTCCACACATGCATTGCGTGCTCGCCCCGCACACACACACACACATATATATATATATATATATATATATATATATATATATTAAATCAATACAAGACAATATATTTACATAAGACAATATTATATCAGATAACACTATTATATCACATGACACAAATAGTGTCATATGTTACATCACGATACTTTATATGTGGACAAGTAAAAATTTTCCAAAAAAATTAAAAAATTAAAAAACACAACAACAAATTAATACGTGACATTTGTAAAATACTAACAAAAAATGTCTAATTGAATTAAAATTTCAATAATTAAAACTTGATTGAAACAAAAAAAAATGAAGGCTTATTTTTTAACTTTATAACTAAAATAGAGACAAAAGAAATAATTAAGCTTTTCAAGGTTACGAAATAATCATTTTATTGGAGAAGTGATAGCGAACTGATTATTGTGATGAAGCATTCCAATAACATTTACTTTCAAGGTTTTATTTATTATTTTTTTAGCTTTGTTATTTGTTTTATTTTTCACTTCTAGTATGGTGTTGAATCGGTGGTGGATTGTGAGGAATATTTTCTCCTTAGATACGTCAAAATAATTTTTGTTAGTCACTTTATAAGCGTTTGATGGATATTGAAACTATGTTGGATTTTTGTTTGTCTTTTCCAATTGGAGAATCCTTCACATGGAAAAATCTCTAAGGTGGAAGATGTAATCGTCAAGTGTGACGTTAGTATTTCTACTTTATCATTGTCATCAAGTCATAACTGAGATCAATATAAGATCGGAAATATAGTATTTCATCATGACACCTTCCACTTGAGACATTACTAGACAAAATCCGAACAAATTTTAATACAAACTATATATATTTCTATTAGAGTTCTTGTTATTTTAAATTTTTTTATTTTATTTATTATCAATAATCTCTGAAGAAATGTAGTCCTCTTGGTTAAATGAAAATGAAGATTAACAGCAGTGAGAAAAATCTGTTAAAGAACATTATTGTATTCAATGAGAACTGAATACATTGAAAAAAAGGTTAGTCCAAATATCATTATTGGTAGTTGCAAGATTTGGAAAAGATATATGGTTAACGGGCCCAAGGAAATGGGTCGTTGAAAGTACGTTGTGAAAGGTAGAAATGTACAAAAGGATTAAACTTTGAAAAGACATACAAATGGATCAATATTTAATACTAAAAGTAATAGTCCAAATAAAAATCTTGGAAATGA